TAACAATTTGAATGTAGGCCCTTCTTGATCTTGAGGCCCTAGGCTGAAGCCTAGTTAGCCTATAGGAAAATCCAGCCCTGCTGGTAGGAACCCACCTCTGGTGAGAAGGTAACAGCGTTCCGTGCGCCTTTGGCGTTTAGTCATGCCAGCCACATGACCACGGAGACGTCTTCGGACAGTGCTGGGCTCTTCCGCTTTGAAACAGAGATGAGCACCGCCCCCTAGAGTCGGGAAATACTAGCACATATGTGCGAGGGGAACCTTTTACCTTTATTATATGCCATGCTCTGAGCAGGAAAAAAAAAGAGAGGGGTTTTGTTTTGTTTTATAAACCGGGAACTGAAAGCTGACAGCTTGGCTTCCAAGCTTATTTGGGTTTGCAAACACTGGTTGGCTCTCTTCCTCCCAAGCTCCCTTTTATAAAACTGAAACCGATCTGCGACCCTGCATCTTCTCCTCGGGAAGGAATTCATGCAGACTGACTTTCCTTTCGGAAGGATAGCTCTGTTGCCCTCGGGAGAATAGGCAGTGTGAGTTTCTGGTGCGAAGCGGGAGGAGGTGGTTCTGCCTATTCCTGTGTTACCAATGAGCAAAACCCTCCCCCTTCCTTTGCAGTGAGCCTCATCCATGCCTCCCTGCGTCTGCGGAGCCTTAAAAACAAGATTGAGAACAAAATCGAGAACATTGGACTCAAGCGAACACCGATGGGGCTTCTCCTGGAAGCTCTGGGCCAAGAGCAAGAGGCTGGATCCTAGACCATCAGCATCGGTTTCCCTTTCCTCTGGAACTGCTCTTTCCTTCCTCCAACAGATGCTTGTTCTGCTTGCCTCAATCTAGCAATCTGGCTGTGAGTTCCTGTGGAAGATACAGTAGCTTCTAGCTTACATCAAACTCAGCAGAACTCCTGACCTGCGGCTGGGTAACAGCCAAGAGAGGAAATGGACTGAAATCAGCCTAACGTTCCAGTTTAATGTTAAGTATTTCCCATTGGAATCCATATTGGGTTTTTTTTTTGCTTTGGAAAGGAAGGAATCACAAAGAAAGAAAACTAGAATTTGAAAAAACCTTCCGTAGTAAATTGTTGGTTTAGAATACACAGTTGCTGGTTGAGAGAAGGACAAAAATTGAGATCAGAACCAAATGAAATCAGTGTTGTTCTAATTCAGTTTTCTCCCGCAAGGTACAATCCAGATATGTTGAGATGAGAGTTTCCACATGCTCCAGTTAGCTGGGAATTTCCTGAATTGCGGGAGGCTGTAGATGGCTGGATTATTAACGGGCTTTCAGTGTATTATTATTTGCATAATGCCACTGCTGTAAGGGCTTAAGAAACAGTATTAGGACTACTCTGTGTAGGAACCCCATTACTTAGGCCAGTATCATTTATCCCTATATTGCACATAGTAGGCTGAGATTTTGTAGAGCAGAATGCTTCAGCCTCGCCCTCACCCCCATATGTTCATAGCAGAGCTGAGATTGAAATGGGGAGGGAATTTGAATGGATATTTATCTTGTTTCCTCTTGGACTTCTGTAGAGCAGTGGTCTCCAACCTTGGCAACTTTAAGACAAGCTTTGCTGGCTGAGGAACTCTGGGAGTTGAAGTCCACAGGTCTTAAAGTTGCCAAGGTTGGAGACCACTGCTGTAGAGGTTTTGGGCTCTTGGTGTTCAGATGGAGGCAGCAAGTAAAGCAACTTGGATGAAGTTTGGTAGTAGAAGGGAGCAAGGCAATTTGGAGAAGATTTAGCTAAACCTTTGAATGGATGATGGAGGCTAATCATTTACAAATCTTAAGGAATTCTTTTATGAATACTTTTGAGCAAAAGGGAAGGCTAACACTCAAGTGCTGGTAAAGGAGACTGATGATGTACAAAAATACCCCCACAAAATGACATCAAAAAGTGGGACGCTGTCCCCACTTTTGAGTATATTTAACGAGCAAAAGAACTTTTGTCTCTCTGCAAGACCAAGTCAAGAAACCTCAAAACCGTTGTCCTGGCTCATGAATGCCAATAAAGTGCAATTCAATTTGTTTGCTTTTAGATTAGATTAAAATGCACAGTATGGTAGGATAGGATGTGTAAAGCATAATCACAAATCATAATCCTAAAATCTGACTTTGTGTGATGTGCGAGTCCAAACAATCCTCTCTACTCAAAGTCATTTGGAATTCAGAGGGTTCTTGTACAAAATTTAAGAGAATTAGACCAATTCTGCACAGTTCTAAGTAGAATACAATACATACAAATGAGATGTTCCAATACTGATCATATTCTTTTCATCATGCTGTTTTGAAAATGATGGGAAGAAGCAATAATTAAGCACATAGTATAGCTTAAAAAGGACTTTCCATCTAAGCTTTTATGATCATTTAGCAAGAAAGAGGTTCTTTTATACTTCCTGTATGGGGTTTTTTGGGGGGGACCTCTAAAGGAAAGGCATCGTCCTTGTTTGCTATTAGCAGGATATAACAATCATTAACTCCACTTCTGATCAAACTTTTGACTGCATAGGCTGCTTCCTTCAAGTCTTTTCAGCCTTAAGTGATCAGCGGGGCTGGCTGGATATTTGGGGAGTTGTATCTGGAACTGCATATGGGCAGTTTCAACTTGCCTTTGTACTTGGTAGAATATGTGTAATACGCCAGATGTTAATTTTTGTGTCTCATGACATCTGCTAGCTAGTTGTCGTGTGTTTTACTTTTCCCAAGCCAGGGTCCTTAATAGCTCACTTCAGCTATCAAATCTCATTAGACTACTGGCTTTTCATGTATTTAGGAAATTCCCAAGTCCTTTGGGTGGAGGCTGAAGGGAAAACATGCTTCAAAATCTGTAAGGTATGGACCATAAACTGACATACACAAGTGTACAGCAAAAAGTCTTTCTGGATTTTCAGAACACATTTGCACCATAAACTAACCACTTCAGCTGTATTCATACAACCCATTGTGATAAAAATGCAGTTGAACAGTGGGTGAAGCCAGTGGATACTTCTCTTGAAGGGAGTTACCGATTTTGCTCAGCCTTTCGGTTCCCACTTTAATATGGAGGAAAATTTAAGAGTTGTTAAATCAGGTAGACATTACTTTGCTCAAACTGGGGCAGCTGGAATTGGAATTCTCATGATATGGTCATTATTTAGGCAGTATGGAGGCACCCCATTGGTTATCCTAGCAGTAGAATTATGTAACAAGTATTGATACATAATCCCAATGGTAGATTATGAATGTTCCCTCATTCTTTAGAGCAGGGCCGTCAAACGCGGACCGGATGCGTCACGTGCTGGCCACGCCCATGCCCGGTTTAGCAAAAGTGGGGGGGGGGAGTCCAGATATGTCATGTGACGCCACAGTGATGAGATGCATTTGAGATCCCTGCTTTAGAGGCTGCATTCCTCACATGTAGAACATGAAGATTCAAACCCAACCCGCTAATTCAGTGTTTCTCAACCTTGGTGACTTTAAGTCCTGTGGACTTCAACTCCCAGAATCCCCCAGCTAGCTATGCTATGCTGGCTGGGGAATTCTGGGAGTTGAAGTCCACAGGACTTAAAGTCACCAAGGTTGAGAAACACTGCCCTAATTGAAGTTGAAGGAACCAAAATGTGTACAGCTGCAGTTTGAAGGGATCGTTGCTTTTCATTTTGGGATTTCTTCCTGGGTTACTGAGAGAGATCCAGGCTTAAAAGGGAAACATCTGATATGGAAAGTGACTTTGTCACCATTGGCTCAGCTCTCAGAGGTGGAGAGTTTTGCCAGGGAGAAATCATGAATCTGGCGGTGAAGTGTGTCCCTCCATCAAACAGTCTAATGAAGGATGGGGAATGCTGCTTTCATCAAATGTCTCTGGGGCTTTAAGCTTCTTGATTATAGCAATAGCAGTTAGACTTATATACCGCTTCATAGGGCTTTCAGCCCTCTCTAAG